GTTTATGTAGATGGTCATTATCATTGTTATATCATAATCATGTTGGATCTATTTTAGAGATTCAAGGGTGGTCTTACATTAGAAACTGTATATAATTCACAGCATTAATAGATTCAAGGAGAAAAAATGCTATTACCTCGATAAACGTCAAAAAGCTTTTTATAGAGCTTGACATCTCCTTATGATAAATTGTCTTAGTAATTTAGAAATAGGAAGGTAAATCCTGAAGCTAACCCAAACTAATAGTAAAGAATATTCTTAATAACAAAACATTAAGTAAATTTCCATTAACGTCAGGAATCAGACAATAACAATTACTTCTATTCAACTATTCACAGACTTTTGATTCACTACACAGAATAATCTAAAGAATCTAAGGCAATTATTCGTGTTTTTAGTAGAGTTTAACAGGTAGCTGGATATAAGCAAAAACCAAAAAATCAAATGGATTACTGTACACTTGCAACAAAACAGCTGGAGACAATAACCTTTGAAAAGTATACTGATAACTACAACAAAAATATAGGTACTTAGGGCTAACCTAAAAATGTGTAAAACTTTTTTTGAAGAAACTTTTGAAACTTAGCTGAAAGATTGAAATAGACAAACAAATTGAGATATGTCATGTTGGTTTCTAATGAAAATCAATATCTTAAAATTTTCCATTGTTAATCCAATCAAATTTGATTTATAGAATCTAATAGAATCAATGCATTTCTAATCAAATTACAAGAATTTTCTTTTTAAAACTTCATAAACTAATTCTAAAATTCATATGAAAAACAAATGTCCAGACCAGTGCAGGGAGGGGAGCAGCGAGGTAGTGAGAGAGGCTGGAAGCTAAGAAGCTGGGACTGAATTAGAGGGATGGTCAGTAGGGCTTCACATTGGTTCTGGATCCACCTACTGATCCCATCATTCTCCAGGCTCTGCTGCTCAGTCTGCTCTATATTCTTCTCATTTGTGGTGATTTGCTTTCAGGGTTCCATTATTTCCTCAACCAGTTCAGGACAATAGGGACTCAGTTCATTGGACAGATCTCTATATACCTGAAATCTATACCTACCATAGGGTTTTTGGGCCCTGTGACAACTACTGAATCTGTTTTAGTGGCCCTGACCATTCTATGACTCTGGGAAGATCTGAATCATTATGTGATAGTACACAGAGGATTTTAAGGATTGATGTGATCCAATTCCACAAATCAACCTAATAGTGTCCCATCTCTGACCTGGCTCCAAATAATACACATTTGATCTCATAAAAAGAAAATGAGGGGGAGGGGCAGGAAGAAGACACTAGAAAAATATTAATTTTGATCATATAAGGAGATGAGGTTGTGGATGGCTTTTACTATCATTTTATACTTTAAAAAAACTTCTAAAATTTGAAAACTATTCATTTATTAATTTTATATTGAAAAATCAAAACAAAAAATAAGCCATGAAAGAAATAATTAGAAAACAACAACAATCACCCAAACATTGTCCCGCTGACATGGCTCAGTGGTTGAGTATCAACCTATGAACCAGGCGGTCACGACTTATTCCCAGTCAGGGTATATGCCCAGGTTGTGGGCTTGATCCCCAAGATGGAGTATGTAGGAGGCAGCCGATCAATGATTCTCTTTCATTATTGATATTTCTATCTCTCTTCCTCTCCTTTCCTCTCTGAAATCAATAAAAATATATTAAAAAACTCCACCCCAACATTAATAACCTATTATGTCCCTAGAAGTTTGCCCAGCATTTTTTGGTGGTTACTACTGTTAGAAACATAAAATAATACCTTCTGTTTAGAAATTTTCATCATAACAGGAGCATCCATTAATAGATATTTCAACTTTGAATCTCATTTGGGATATTTATATGGATTTTTAAGCAAGTAAATTTTTGTTCTTATTAGGCTTTCACATTCTAAGGTTTTTAAAAGTTACTTATTGTCATTTTTCTCTCCACATTGGTCTCATTATCATGTCACACAAATGAATCACCTAATAGTAATCTCCTGGGTGTCAACATCTAGCTGTAGAATAGAATTTAATCCTCTTTCTTTTATATTACATTATTTCCAGAGGCCTCTTATCATAGAAAATTCTCTTATTTTTTCATTAAAGGTTGTATTGTCAGAGAAATAATAGTCCCACACATATGACTAATAAAAGCCAGCCATTTGATTAAAAGTGAATAACATTAGGAATGTGAGGTTCAATAATTATACTTCCCCCACTCCTACAAATAACTGTGTATTATCACATTAAGTGCCCTGGGGTAACTGAAAAAAAATTAGGAAGAGACTGCTTTGTGACCATTATGGAATATTGGGAGTTCAAAAGTAAAAAATAAATGTTTCTGCTTGGATGATTTCTTAGATACCATAAAGTGTAAGATAAAGAAAATATATTTTAAATTTACTTTTAGTAAGTCTATTTTCAAAAAAATAAATATTCATCTCTGTTTCCAAATATCTCTCTCTCTATAAAAGCCTAATATGCAAAGTGTCCCATCTGGAGTTCGACCTACCAGGAGTTCACTCGCTCGCTCTGACATGCGCTGACCACCAGGGGTGGTGTGGAACAAAGGAAGGCCCCAGCTGACAGCCAGCAGCTGCTAGGGACCCTACCCATACACGAATTTCATGCACTGAGCCTCTAGTTTATAATAAAAGATTTATTCACAAACTATACAAATGAAAGGCTTGCAAAATGATACATCTGATGAAATTAAAATTCACTGAAACACATAGTAAGTGTTTATGATAGAATATTATGCATGAAATTCTCTCAAAAAGCCTACAAAAGAGATGAGAGTGAGATCCCTGTTTTAGTAAAGAGAATGTTGATGAGAGAGAGTGAGCTACAAACCCAAAGGAACCCACCTAGCCGGAGATGGAGTTGAGAGTCAAATCTCAGTTGTCATGTTCCACTGTCTATGGCTTCTCAACTACTAGGCCAAGCTACATCTCTTCATAAAACTATGGGCAGATCCCACCTTCCTAAGGACTAATTTTAAAGCTACCAGTATTAACTAGTTTTGCCACTATCTGTTATTGACCATCCAGGCTGCCCTATAACAATGTTGAGAGCGTGCAAAGCAGGAAAAACTTGACAGTGAGATGCAGCAGGCAGAGGGAGTCTCTGCACTTCATTTGTCCTTGGCCTCTCTCAGGTTGCACATCATGTAGACACTTAGGGTCTATGTATACTGGCTATGGGGCTGCTATAGGGGTTATGGTTGTTGAAGAACCCTCACAACAGAAACCAGGAGATGAACTGCCAAGCCTGATGCTGGAAGGAAGACAGGGCAGAGACTCATGTATCTATAGCCAATGAGAGCTGAGTGGTGGCAGGTCCAGCAAGAGGGCGATATCTCCTGAGCCCAAAGGAAATATCGCCGGAGCGAGGACTGGTTCAGAACTGCAGATTTAACACGGGAGACAGGCCCAGCTGCAGACAGCAGCCCAGAGCATGTGCTGCCAGCATGCTTCTGAAAACCAGCCCAAGGACAGGATAGTCCCTTTCCTCAGGTCAGAGAGACGTGCAGCCATCTTCCCACATATCCAATTCCATCTTAAGGAGAAAAGCAGGGAAGGCGAGAGGATACACGAGAGACAGAAATGCTATGCAAAGAAGATGAGCACAATGTAGAGCAGTGGTCGGCAAACCGCGGCTCGCGAGCCACATGCGGCTCTTTGGCCCCTTGAGTGTGGCTCTTCCACAAAATACCACGTGTGGGCGTGCACGTACAGTGCAATTGAAACTTCGTGGCCCATGCGCAGAAGACGGTATTTTGTGGAAGAGCCACACTCAAGGGGCCAAAGAGCTGCATGTGGCTCGTGAGCCACAGTTTGCCGAGCTGAAGTTTGCCGATCACTGAGAGGAACCATGTAACCTTTAAAGAAGATTAAACTTTTAATCACACAAGAAAAGTACCTTTTTACCTTCCACAAACAGCTAATCAACTGTGGGATAATGATCAGATCAGTTATGGTTAAAGAAAAAAAAAAGTTAATTATTTTGCTCATTCAACATGCAGTGTAATTTACACTGACACCCCTGTACATTAGATTTACTGTGAATCACATTTTCCAGGTCCGGCACCTACATTATCTCATTTAATTCTCACACAAGCCCTGTAAGGGAGGAATCATTATAATCTCCACTTTATAGAAGAGGAAAATGAGGCTTAGAGAGGTTCAGTAATTCACACATGGTCACATCGCTAGCAACATAGCTGGGAGAGGAAAGCCGATTACTTAACTGTTTTAACTTATAAATAATTAAAATACATTTTAGATGAATTGGATTTTTGATATATGATGATGTTCAAGTGGGAGACTTCTGAAATAGAAAGCTGAGTGTGCTTGCAAAGGAGTATTTGTTTTCTAATTTGCATTTGAGACTTTAGTCTTCAGGCAAATTTTAAAGGACACGTAAGCCTGAAAGGAGAAATCCGAATTCTGTCATATTTGATCGTAGTGAGGTTGTAACATGTGTTCACTAGAAAGATACTTTCAGGACAATTAGAAATAGAAGACAATTGACGTCTCCTCTTCACTAAGAAGCCTCCAAGGCAGAAGTTTTCAAGGTTTAGATTTTGAGTTAAGTCTTGGTTTAACTCCTGTTAAACCACATTAAAGCCATGTAAGTTGGTGACCACTTTGAGCTCATTTCCATAAAGTTACCATGGTGACATGTCAAAGCGGGAGGAAATGAGATAACCTTTGTCATTCACGGAACATGGTGCCTGCCACATAACTGGTGCTCAAAACTGTCAAACTGCCTCTGCTTATCCCCCTTGCTGTAGTGAATCCTAATATTATCCAGTTCTCTGTGGCTTACTATGGAGCCAAACAATTATTTTAATCCCCAGATTTTATTTTGTTTCTATATTTAGCAAATGCAAATGTACACTTGCTGATTTGATACCTGGAGCTACAAGGACAAATAAAAAAAATCTCCTGGGGTGTATTTATCAAGTTTAGAAAATGCATTCACTTACCAGCTCACTGAATTCATTATTTCCTAGGTCAAGTCTTTCCAGCTGGGCCAGTTTGTGCATTGACCTGTAACAGAGGGAGACAAATACCGTTGTGAGGCAAAGCATGACACATTACTCCAGAACATCTCACCCACCTCCCTGTTAGATTTCCCTGTTTGTACAGTGCACAGCAACAGGGGTGCTTTCCAGCAAGAATCAAACTGCAAATAACAGTAACCTATGCAAACTGCTACCTGAAAACCTTTAGTAGTTTACCATGTTCCCAAATGCCAGTCTAGCTAGAGTACAGGGTTGGCTGCTTTTTTTTTTTTTAAAAAAAATATATTTGTATTATTTTTTACAGAGAGGAAGGGAGAGGTATAGAGAGTTAGAAACATCAATGAGAGAGAAACATCGACCAGCTGCCTCCTGCACATCTCCCACTGGGGATGTACCCGCAACCAAGGTACATGCCCTTGACTGGAATCGAACCTAGGACCCTTCAGTCTGCAGGCCAACGCTCTATCCACTGAGCCAAACCAGTCAGGGCAGGGTTGGCTGCTTTATAAAAACCTGGGAAGCTTGTTAAACATCTACACCAGTAGGAGGTATAGTTTCGAACAACTATATTTTTAAGTCACCACAGGTTTGGGAACCAATGATAGCCCCATTCCTAGCAGAGCATTCTAAAAAGCCACAATATAGACACAATAGCACCATCAATCTTGTCATTTTCTACTTCCCTACATGAACTTCTGCTATAGACAAACGTTATATTCACTGTCTCCTAAACATATTGGCTTGGATGCTCTGAATAATTGCAGAACCTTGGGCAAGAGATGCTGCCAAAGGTTAGAGATACCTTAGCACATGCTATATGCATCAGCGTATCTCAAGCCACTCACAAGTACAACATGCAACAGAAGAAAAGACAGTGTATTTCTGAGTGTCAAATTTTTACTTCTCCACCAACCAGAATGCTGTCCTTATATATGCTGACTACACAGAAATTCTGGAGACATCATTGACTCACATCTTAGAAATTTTAGTGCCTTCATCTTTAGAATGGATATAGCAATTATCTTACAGGGCTTTTATGAGCATTAAAGGAAATACTAGTGTAATCCAGACACTGTCAGGTACTCCAAAATGCAAACCTGTGTGTACCCTTTATTCACCCAGCAACTGTTATTGAAAGACCATGTACCAGACAATCTTCTGAGGTCTGAGTACAGCAGTGAATAAACGAGACAAAAACTCCTGCCCGAAAGGACTTTATATTTCAGTGTTGGTGGGGGGAGGGGGACGGGATTACAATTAATGTTAAGTAAAATAAAATAATATACTAGAATGTTATAAATGCTATGGAGAAAACTCAAATAGTCAAGGCACACAGTAAGAATTTACATGGAGGATTGCAATTTTTAATAGGGGGGTCAGATAGATATTACTCAAAAGGAAAAAAATTGAGCCGAGGCTTAAAAGAAATGAAGGAGCATGCCAGTGCATCAACTCTAAAGCAGGAACATATTATTTGCTTGAAGACATCCCAGGAGCGTAGTGTGGCTGAGGCAGAGTGAGGGAGAGGGAGAGCGAGAGTAAGGAGATGATAATGAGGAGTTAGATAAAAGCGTGTCTTAACAGCCCAATAGAGACATTGGCTTTGATTCTGAGTAAGATGGAGGGTCAGTGAAAGGTTTTGATCAAAGGTAGGACTGAAGTGACTTGTTAAAAGATCATAGCCTATTTCAGAAACAGCAGGTTAGTAACAATAGTAAGAAATAATAATAAAAAAATGAGACAAATAATAAGAAATCAGGAATAAAATGTAGGAAAGGGTTAGATCATAAGGTCATACATGTCAGGCCAAGGAATTTGAGTTTTAGTTTAAAGGCAATAACACCTTTGAGATTTAGAGAGCAAAGACTTACCAGACTTGTATTTTATAAAGCTCACTCCAGTAGCTTGGAATGGTGTGGATAATGGTGAGAGGATGTGCTAGCAAAGAGGCTAAATTAAAAAAATGGCCCTGAAAACCATGTGGTAATGACGATGACCGATTGGATGTGGGAGGTAAAAAAGAGGAAAAATTAAAGATAATTTCTTGATTGAGTAGCAGTTGTGGGAATATTGGAATGGAGTGGATCTAAGGTGAAGATTGGTTGGATGTAGTGAATAATGCTATTTAAAATACTATAGTGCTGAAACCGGTTTGGCTCAGTGGATAGAGCGTTGGCCTGCGGACTGAAAGGTCCCAGGTTCGATTCCGGTCAAGGGCATGCACCTTGGTTGCGGGCACATCCCCAGTGGGGAGTGTACAGGAGGCGGCTGGTCGATGTTTCTCTCTCATCGATGTTTCTAACTCTCTATCTCTCTCCTTTCCTCTCTGTAAAAACTCAATAAAAATGTATTAAAAAAATAAAATAAAATACTATAGTGACTTTGAAGTGAATGTGAGAGACCTTTATTAGGGAAAATGTGTGTGTGTGTGTGTGTGTGTGTGTGTGTGTGTGTGTGTGTGAAAAAGGGAGGGCAGGTATGAGGGAGGGAAGGAGAGAGAGAAAGAGAAAGAGAGAGAGAGAGAGAGAGAGAGAGAGAGAGAGAGAGAGAGAGAGAGAGAATGAGTAGAGAGAAAAGAGCTCAGATAAAAGTCTTGACTGGAAATAAATATTTAAAAAATAAGTGGAATATTTCTTGTCTACTCCACCTAAAAATTACATCTCCTTTTTTAAAATACACATACCATTTGCTTCCTTTTTCCAGGGTTTATTTGATATTTACCACTTAATTTCTTGAATTATTAGTTTTTTCATGTCTACATGCCTCCTTTCTCCACCAGATCTTAAAACACGCTTTAAGATGCTCAGAGGGACTGCCAGCCATTCACCCATCCAGCCATCCAGAGGTTGTGCAACCTTGTGGGCAACATCTAAGAGAACATCTGCCTCGCCTCCTGCCAAATCTATGCCACTGAATAGATGCATCTAGTGGGAAAAGTGGCTGGGCCACAAGAAGAGAAAATTAGATTTTCTTCTGAGCCTGGAAACATTAAAGAATGGCAAATTCTTGCAAATCTTGTTTCTAGCAACAAGCAAACAATGAGCATCAAGGCCTTGGGAGTCAAGGAGAAGGATCCAGTGGCCAAGCGTGGCAAGTGAGTGAGAATGAGCACAGGGGTAGCAGAGCCACCTGTATGTGACTTGACCCTGTGGCCTTAGGGAACAAATATGCTAGTGAGAACCACCATGACCTGAAGACCAGAGGCCCTTCCACAATTATTTGGATTCTATGAACTTGGTGGTTCTCACAGTCTCCTAGGAGGATATTGTATAAACTTGAGAGCAGATTTTTCCCCCTAGTTCTAGTGATTGATGACCAAGACAAAATTAATTTTATTAAATGAATAAATGAGTTACACCTTGTACTTGGGTATCCTAAAGCAAATTGCATTAGTTAAAGGATTTACCTCTTTTCTAGGTTAAATATTAGTGACCTCTTAATCATCCCTTGTGTGATAGGATTTTCAACCCCCTAAACACCTGATCATCTTAATTTAGACTTAGTAAAAATTCTCAGTGTTTCTCTTCCAAAACAAGACCAGGTTCAAATCTGGCACTCATGTTATTGTAAATAAAGAATTATGGCCCAGTCAGCGTGGTTCAGTGGTTGAGCCTTGACCCATGAACCAGGAGATCACTGTTCGATTCCAGGTCAGGGCACATGGCCGAGTTTGGGGCATGATTCCCAGTAAGGGGCATGCAGGAGACAGCCAGCTGATCAATGATTCTTTCTCATCATTGATGTTTCTATCCCTCTCTCCCTTTCCCTTCCTCTCTGAAATCAACAGAAATATATGTAAAAAAAGAATTATGGAACACATCTAGGCTTATTTGTTAATATATTATCTGGGGCTATCTTGCCTGGCAACAACAGAATTGAGACACCATTTAGATCACAGAACCTCTGATGACCAGCTGGCACTCAGAGTTGAACACTATTCTCTAGTGTGGGTCTCTAAGACAATGTAGAAAAAAGTGATTATTTTTTCATTTCTATTACTGTTTTTCAAGCGTGATTCTTTTTGTGGGAAGATAGGTAACCTCTATGCCACCACTAAGCCTTTTTCTTTTTAGTTTTAGGCTACTGCCTTTGAAAACTGTGCTTCATAAATTCATACCTAGGGAACTACATTTTAAATGTAAACTCTAGCTTCCTACCATCCCTTTTCCATTCTTTTGAATGGGCAACATTTTTTCTTTTTCTTGTTCTGGTACACCAAGAAAGTTTTCTGTCCCATGAGGTGTTCTGAACTATTTTCTGAAGCTTAAGTTACTTAAAATATATTTTCTTCTATTTTAATTTTATCTCATTTTATTTTTTATGCTCTTAGTTTCCATCACTGTTTAATTGTTATCACCAAAGTTTCCTTTCATCATTACATTCTCACTTCTGTTTTTGAAGTTATCTGTCCAATATGACTTTGTATCTTTAAGATTACTACATTTTTACTTTTGTTTTTGAAGATGTCATTCAATATTATGTCTTATGTTTCACACCTTTCAAATGGACTGTTTTTACCCCAAGATTTTATCCAGTCTGTAACATAGCCTATTGCTTTTCTTGATCATGTGCTAGCTGCTAAACTATAATCATTCTGTCAAATTGTCCAAAAAATGTTCCTTTCAGATGAACATATGAAATGCGTTTTTAATTCCCTCAGGATACAAATAAGTAAAGCTTTGCCAGATAAATAAAATAGAACTCATGGCATTTTTATGGTAGTAGTGTCCTTTTCTGAGCATTCATTCACTCAGTTTGTGATTGTTATGGCAGGTACCATGTGGATATTGCAGTTACAAAGATTTCTGGGACTCATTGTTTCCCAACTGCGGAACTATTGACATTTTGACTGATTACTTCTTTAATACAGGGTCCTAATGTGAGCTTTGTAGAATGTTTACCACATCCCACACAGTCTGCACTCTGAAAGACTTATTTTCCAAATGGGAATGACCTTTAAATGAATAGTTACTTCACAGGGTGATAAGTGCTGGGATAAAAGTATGTATAGATTGCCATAGGAGC